CCTGAAAAAGAAACTCATATCTCGATACATGTTGATAATAATGACACTGAAAGAAGAAATGATACAACTGCAACATCTACAATAGGACCTAGAATAAGTCAAAGACAAAGAACAGAGAAACACTTAGGTTCAGATTTTATCTCTATTTAGTCAATTGTATTTTTGGTTGAGGCTGATAGAGAGAAGATTTTAAATAAGATACCTATTGTCCTAAACATTGAAAATGATAAAAAAACCTACAGTAAGGCCATGACCTCTAGAGATGTTGCCTTTTGGAAGGAAGCTATAAATGATGAAATAGATTCAATAATGTCAAATAACACGTTGGTACTAGTAGACCTGCCTCTAGGATCAAAACCAATAAAATGTAAATGGATGTTTAGAAGAAAATGCAACACTGATGGAACTATACAAACTTTTAAGGCTAGATTTAGTCAAAAGGAAGGGATTGATTACTTTGACACCTATGCACCAGTGGCTAGAACAACTTCTATTAGAACACTCATAGCATTAGYATCCATTTATCAYTTATCTGTTCACCAAATGGATGTTAAAACTGCTTTCTTAAATGGTGATTTAAATGAAGAGGTTTATATGGAACAACCARAAKGATTTGTTCTTCYTGGAAATGAGAAGAAAGTCTGTAAACTGGTTAAATCACTATATGGATTAAAACAAGTACCTAAACAGTGGCATGAGAAATTTGATTCTTACATTATAGCTTTTGGTTTTAAACATAATAGTACTGATAGATGCATCTACTCAAAATTCACTGAAAATTATGGAGTAATTGTATGTCTTTATGTTGATGATATGYTTATTGTGGRTACAAATATGGTTGGCATAAATGAAACTAAAAACTACTTATCCTCTGTCTTCAAGATGAAAGATTTAGGAGAAGTAGATATCATCTTGGCAATAAAAGTTAAAAAGCATAGTAGGGGCTATGTATATTGAGAAAGTACTTGAGAAATTTAAGCATTTAGGGTTTAAAGAATATAACACACCATATGATTCTAGTATAAAGCTAGTCGAAAATACTGGTAGAGCAATTGTACAACTTGAATATGCTAGTGCAGTAGGAAGCTTGATGTATGCTATGCTTTGTACTAGACCTGATATTGCATTTATAGTAAATAAACTCAGTCGGTTTATAAGTAATCCCAGTGCAGAGCACTAGAAGGCAATTGAGAGAGTTCTTGGGTATCTCAAGAGAACCTTGGAACTTGGCTTATTTTACTGTGATTATCCAGCTGTAATAAAATGATACACTGATGCAAGTTGGATTACCAGTAATGGAGATAACAAGTCCACCTCTTAATGGATTTTCGTCATTGGTGCGGGTGCGATATCTTGGGCATCCAAGAAACAAACTTGTATATCTCACTCGACCATGGAATCTGAATTCATAGCCTTAGCGGCTGCTGGAAAGAGGCTGAATGGATTAAGAATTTATTATTGGATATAAGACTTTGGTATACTCCTATGCCTCTAATTTCCATTTACTGTGATAGTGAGACAACTCTATCAAGAGCCTACAGTGGTATCTACAATGGTAAGTCCAAACATATAAATATGAGACATGAATTTGTTAGGCAACTGATTCAAGATGGAGTCATCACTATAACCTATGTAAGGTCAAGTAAAAATTTGGCCGATCCTCTTACCAAGGGCTTAGCTAGAGAATTGGTAAGAATGACAACCAAAGAGATGAGATTAAAATCCTTTACTTAGTCACTTGTAATGGTAACCCAACTTGAATTGAAAAACCATCAGTATTGGGTTTAATGGGTAACAACAAGTTACAACAATGTGACTATTAGCATTGACATTGAGAAATTTCCCATCACAACATAAACAATGTTGTCCGTTATGATAAGAGGTTGAGTTAAACTCTTAATGAAGTTCTTAAATGTATCAAATAATAGAACACATAGTGGAGCTTCACCTATGTGAACATAGAAGTGGTGCTGCTTCTCATGAGAGTTTGGGTTTGCTTTCTAGATTGTTCATGAAACCAGGAAAGAAGCACATGGCCATAACAGTGGTGAGCAGAACTTGAAACTCTTGCAGAGATTGGTCATTATTGTGTATATGGGTGTCTTCGGTCTGTCTTGAGAGTAATTGGTTTAATGTCTTACCACCCATAACTTTGACAAGGCTCTGAGATATCTATACTAACAAAAGGTTTAAGTTGATAAACATATTTTGTATGTATAACTGTGTCATAGTAGTTTGGATTGAGAGAGAACTATGTAATTRATCAATCAATGTGGGGGATTGTTGGATTTTAATCTCATAAGAGATTAAATCCAATGGGTTTGATTTGTCAATTACATGAGAAATTGCACCTACACACTTGATTGAAAAATTAGCTTCTCTTACAAAACCCAGTTTTGAACTTGTCTCGCATTGGAAAATTATAAGCTTTGTTTTCAGTATTTTAATAGGAACTGATTTACACTCCTTAGAAATAGTAGAGGAGAGTATGGGGGTTTGATACCGCGCAACGCACACGCACACGTGTGTACGATGCAATGAGGCGCTTTAGAGGCGCACTTTGTGCGCACCCGCGTGGCTCGCGAAGGGCGGCTTTGGTTTTGGTGCGATGCTGACCGTTGATGAGATCAATGGTCACGATTCGATCGGGTGTGATCAAGAGGCACAATTCAAAGTTAACAGTCATTAACTGTTAACTATTTTTTAAACAGTCACAATGTTTGAAATTGTGACTATTCAAGGTGCCTTCTCTAAACCAGCACCTACCTTTTCTTCATACCTCTTCATAAACTATTTAAGGAGCATGAATTGGACTTCAAAAACACACATTTTCGAAATCCATTTTCTCTCTCTCTTTCTCTCTCAGTCCGGTCTACTACAGTCTCACAAAAGGTTTCTCCGAAGATTCTTCAACTTTGCTGGTTGCAGATTCTCGCCCAAGGCTCTGTTGTACCCTGAGAACGGATTTGCCTTTTACCCAACAGCAAACTCAGTGAAACTGAGTGGGGGCAAATAACGTTCTAAAGACAGTGTCTTCAGACACGCCTCAGAACTTCTCCTCCAAAGTTACAGTGATCCCATTTTCCAACAGGAACCAACGGAGAACAGAGAAACAATTCCCTCTACATGTAAACGGTGAGTGGTTTACTTGTGGATTCACCAAGACTTTTCACGACTAGGACCTTTTCGAGCTCTATCACAAGATTTGGGATGAAGAACTAGCGACGATTCTATTGAGAAGGAACCACCAAATGTTGTTACTCGTAAAGAAAGGGAGAAGTCTAAAACCCTAAACAAAAGCCCCAAAATGGAGAAATAGAAAATCCAAACTTGGGTTTCCCAGACATTGACATTATAGTAGTTTTATTCGAGAGCTTCTATTGTTATTGGACATTTTGGAAAATGAGGTGAAAGCCGAAAGAAACAGCTTTGCAAGCCCTAAACACCTTAATATAGCTCCACTTCGAGATACCCTGGAGAAGAAATGACTTGTTGATCTATAAAAGGATGAGCTTTGGAAGCTCTTCCAGTTCTTCTTCATCTTCCTCAGTCTGGTCTTCGTCGTCCAGGTCCAATCACTCTACCTCCAATGCCGACATTGTTGGCTCCTCACGCTTGCCCACCTCATCTTCTATGTCTCCGTGTCTCAGACCCTCCATTGCATCAACAAATTCAAGTATCAGTGGAGGTGCCACAAGCTGACACTAGGTTGGCGACAGAGAGGCTAAAGCAAATCAAGATGAGGAAGAACACCTAGTTGGCCGATGACATAATAAAAGGGAGAGTATTTATAAAAATCATTGCCACCACTACAACTTCTAGTAGCGACGGTGATCTTGCAAGCTGGTAGAGCGGTTGGAACCATCCGATGATTTTTTGCTACATGGTTGCCTGGCAGCAAAGCATCCCTTGTTGTGAACCCTCAATGACCTTGGTGGTTGGTTATGTGCCCATCAATAGTATGAGATGGGGAGAAGGCATTTGAGTAAGTCAGGCGTGGTTTCGAGGAGGCATTTGAATTCGCTTGTTGAGTAAGGTGGGCATATGGTTGTGCTACAGGTTCTATTTCATGGTGACGTTTGAGCTCCCTCCCCTTAGTAAGGTTCAAATTTGCTTGCTGAGCAACAATTTGTGGCATTGGGAGTATGGGGCACTTTATTAATTGCAAACACTTCTGCAAATGTGGGTAGGCTCTAGTGGCCATGATCCTCTTTCGAGTTCTGACATCTTTGTGCATACGGAGCAGAGGAGGTTTTTTACTATTTTCAAGCATTTTCACTTTCTCGCTTGGACTACACTTTGTTCAATTTTGTTTTAGACGTACATAGAGGTGGATTTGACAGATTGAAGATGGAGTTGGAGGTGTAGATGAAAATGAACACATTGGCAAAAGTGGAGCTCAATTTGTAGTTGTTGAAAGGAAGAAGATGAAGAATAAGGAGGGAGAGGGAGAGGGACGAAGGGTAATATTTGGTTTTAAAAAAATTATACGTCATGTGATGTCATGTGTGTACAGATTTTGATGGAACATTAGTGGATGTTAACGATAGGATAGAGTTAGTCAATTATCAAAAACAATAAGAATGGTTTAAGACAATAGTTAAACAGTAAAAGTATAGTTTGTCAATTAACTAAACGATATGGATAATTTATAAAAATTGCCCTAAATTTAAAATATAAGTCATAGTAGACATTTTACATGTATTAAAATAAAATAATAAAACTTCGTGAGAAGTGGAAGGAATACCCACATACCCTGTTTTTTGCTTGTGATATACAAAGAAACTAGGTTATAGCTTATTTTATACTTTGAAATCTTCAGAAGGATCTCTATATTGTTTTATACTTTATTTATCAATTGTACCAAGGTGCACCGTAGAGCCGGTGGTCCTTTGTCTCCTGGGCCCCCGGGCCAGATCCGACCCTAGTATTTCCTCACCCCGTTGAATCGTACCCATTAATGCTGAAGGTCCAGCCCATTTCTACATTCGCACGTGAAATGTAAACGTCACTAGGGTTTATCGTTTTAGGGTTTTGATTTTGGGACAAAATAACAACTCCATCGTCTGTGAGAATTCTTCCTCTGCATTTCAGGTTTTCAGACAACACATAGGGCAGGGAAGCCGCTTTCGCAAGTCACAGCCATGGGTACGAAGGAAGAAAAAACATCACTCAACCTTCTTCCGCTTTTATTTCCTCAGAACATCGGATGATGCTAAATCGCTACGGATCTCCTTTGATCTGTTTTTATTTTTCTTTGTTGTTTCTTTTGCAGCAAGAGTCAAGGTTCACGAACTCAGAGGAAATTCGAAGACCGAGCTTTTGAACCAGTTGAACGATCTGAAAGCAGAACTCGCGCTGCTTCGAGTTGCCAAGGTCACTGGTGGAGCACCCAATAAGCTATCCAAGATGTATAAAAGTCTCCCTTTCCTCTAAGATACGCAATATTAGATGCTTTTTTCGGTGTCTTGGATTTTCTACATAACGTCATCGATCGACTAATCGATCGGTTGGTGACCCTTTTATGTCATTTTCAGTTTTCGGTATTCTGTGAATGCAGAAAGGTGGTTAGATTGTCAATTGCACAAGTTTTGACGGTGATTTCTCAGAAACAAAAAGCGGCTTTGAGGGAAGCCTACAAGAATAAGAAGTTCGTGCCTCTAGATCTTCGTCCGAAGAAAACCAGGGCCATCCGAAAACGCCTAACCGCCCACCAGGTACTCTTGATGTTTTGACTTTTTAAATTAAATTTTTATTTTCATTGATGCCATTCTGGAAAAGCGTCTTCGTTCATATGGTTTCAAATCAGGCACCTGAAATGTTGTCTGGACCAAAGTGTACTGATTTGTTAGTGGTGGAGATTATACGATTATCTTATATTACTTTTGGTGCCGGCGTACAAGACAATGATCTATGGTTTTGGAGTTATAGATGTAATGAATTTTCAACATCACTTTGGTCATAATCCTTCTTTCTTTAACTTTTAAAACCTGGGTTCTGTTTAATGACTTTAATCCACCTCTGCATTTGAGTCTTCAGAAAACCAGATGTTCGTAATACATGAAATGAAAATGAATATCTTTGAAGCCTATGAGGCTGAGCATGGGTAGTTGCTCTTAGCGTGAAGTGGCAATAGGGTTGCATTAGCAATTTACATTGGCATAAAACATTGCAGTTAATACTCAGTTTCGTGATTCCTATTGCTGCTTTTGGTAATTCTTTTTCTTTGCAGTGGGTGCTAGTATGATTTCCATTGCCTATGCTTCAATGAACTTTGCTCTTCCTATCATTTTGGGGGACAGGGTCCCTATTACCCTAATGTTAACTAATTCACTCTCCATTTGTCAGGGTATAAACGGTACAAGCAACATTTGCTGAATGCTGATATTGCTCCTTATCACCCTATATGCATCAAACTTGAACAATGATTCGAGGATTCTAGTGAATGTGCTCCAAGTGTCTCTTGCCATGGCCTTTTCATGCTTCTGCTTCTGCTTCATTTATGTAGTTCAATGCATGGATACAATTACTACCGGCCCGTTTGGAAGGACTGAGCTGAAGGGTTCATCTAAGTTGGTTTGTGGGGGGAATAGGGGTCTGGAATCGAAATCTGAATTCCAATTGCAACCATTTGGTTGGGTGGAATCGGAATCTGATTCCCATTCCCTATTTGAGGAAATGGCCATTCCCTCCCCTCCCTTTGGAATGAGAATCCTGTTCTCACCAATTCCAATTCTGATTCCGATTCCGATTCCCAAACCAAACAGGCGGGTAATAGACCACTCTGATTCCTATTCCGACAGTGAACCAAATGGACCCTTAGTTTGTAAACGAGCGTTTCTGTAGATTTACCTGTTCTATCTTGTAGTATTTTCTTTAAGGGAAAATTCCCGATTAGTACCCTGTACTTTGGGCCTAGTGCCAGTTTGGTCCCCGAACTTTAAAACACGACAATTCAGTACTTGAACTTTCAAGACGTGCCAATCCAGTACTTGTTGTTAACCATCACCCGTTAATCAGCCATTAAGTGGCATTTGAAAAGACACAAATGCCCTTCAAGTGTCATCTAGTTCTCTTTATCAATCATCCAATCATTGACAGAAAATGAATCAGTCCCAAATCCTTGCCTCTTCTATTCAAGAAAGTTGGGGTCACATCTCATTGGGCATTCCGGTGACCCCAACTTTCTGGAATAGAAGAGGCAAGGATTTGGCACTATTCATTTTTTATCAATGTTTGGATGGTTGATAAAGAAAATTAGATGACACTCGAAGGGCATTTGTGTCTTTTTCAAATGCCACTTAATGGCCGGTTAATGGATTGGTTAACGGTAGGTACTAAATTGGCACGTTTTGAAAGTTTGTGTACTACATTTTTGCTTTTTAAAGTTCAGGGACCAAAATGGCACTAGGCCCAAACTACAGGGTACTAATTGGGAATTTTCCCTTTATTTAATTGTAACTGTTGTATTGGTCCATTAGCATGCTTGTTAGTTCATATTCCTATTCCTTGTATCTAAATGTTTGTTTTAACATGTTTGTTAGTTCATATTCGTATTCCTTGTATCTAAATGTTTGTGTTTGTGTAGACATCTTTGAAGACAAAACGGGAAGAGAAGAGGGAAAGGTATTTTCCAATGAGGAAGTATGCCATCAAGGTGTAGGGTGGGAACTAGTTGCCAAGGACGCGAGACACATCCTTGATGCTTTCAAAGTTTTCAAGGATAGAAACATCGAAATTTGCACACTATGCATTATTTCTCTACATTTTTGTTTGACTATTTCGAAATGAGCACAAGTACTCGAGTTTCTTTAGTTTTTAATTTGTCATTTGAATTTGATTCGTTGATCTTTCTTCAGTTGCAAAGTTCGCCAGTTTCATTATTGATTGAGAATCGAGACATGTTAGGATTGGGTCCTACTTGGATATAATTCTTCTTTTTATGAATATGGATTTTGGGGAAACTTTGGATATTTTGGAAAATTTTGTATTGGTCCAATTCAATGTCTGGACCGTCCAATATGTTATGTTCGTTTTTAATTTAGATTAGTTTCAATCCAAACTTGATTCATTGACACCTATATTCTTGTCTTATATATCAATAGATCAGATATTGGCTTAATCCACTCAATTCAATATAAATTTATTATGAACGACCAGATTCAATCCAATCTAATAAATATTTTTGGACTGGATTGGTCCAATCCAATATTTGTTGTTGGTTGGTTCAGTCCAAAACTGGTACATTGACACCTTTGCTGAAGTTGTCAGGCAGACCATACACCCCCCGTACCAGCAGTTCTACGTTCTATCCCCTACGTAGAACTGTGTTGCATTGGAGAAGCTACCTAAGAAAGCCTAATCAGAAAGTCATTTTTTTTGGCTCGTGTTAGCTTATTTTTGGTTTTCCAGTTTTTTCACCTAACATCTTTTAATAACTTTGCAAGTTTTTCAGCTCATGTAACTTGAGAAGCCACTACGTGAAACGTGAAAAGCCCTTCCTTCCAAATGTCACTGATTCTGGTTTATATGCATAATTTGATTTAGTCTCTCTTGATCTGGATGCTTTGCTGATATCCAATAATTGGGACAAGGGTGATTTGAGTTGGCAATATTTTTCGCTCCATGGGCTACGCAACGGGAGGTAGCCCATGGGCTTGTAACTTTCTACAATGATCCATTAAAAACCGCTACCAAGCCTACAACTTCAGATATACAACACTCTGTCTCTATGGAGGATGGTGTTGCTGAATATTAACAACATGAGCAACCTGATTAACAACCTGTGGCACGAAAGCAACCGAGAAACATGATATAGGGATAGCGCAGGCCAACTGAAATACATCATGATGGTCGCACACTACTATACGTATTACTGAAGCACTGGATGCATTAGTTGCACCATTGACATTAATTTTCAAGTAGCCTTCAGGGGGTGGGGTTTCAGGATATATATCTATACTATTAATAAAAGAGCGAATAGCCCCATTTTCTGGATTTTTTATTAAACATATTTACCCCTTATCTAAGCAACATACAATGGACATAAAAAATGGTATATATGTTGTTTATTCCCACTCCAAAAACTCCCTACTTATAACTGTTCAAAAACTGTCCACTTATAATAGTTAAGAAACTGCCCATTTATAACCATTTAAAAACCGTCCATGAATTATAAATAGTTTTGTCTTGGAGATACTAGTATATATATAATTAGTGATGGTGACGGAATGGGACCACTATCACCTAGAGATAAGAGAATATAATCCATGTAAATGTAAGAATGAGATTGTGATTTCAGGCAATCATAATCCATCATATATACGTCTGGTACTTGTCAGCCCAGTCCACAAAACTTCTGGGCTGGTTTGCCCGTATGGGTCTTCATTTTTGCTATATATATCCCTCTGCAGACCCAGTAAGTCTGGTCTTGGTCTTCTAGAGTTCTAGGCCAGGCAAATCAGGGTCCCGTCTCAATTTTGCAACTTTAACATGTATTACAGTCACATCTTACAAAATGAGCAAACGATGGTAGGAGGATTTCACCCATTCACTTTTCCCATTTCATGGGCCAAAGCAAACATAATTTCCACCCAAGATGAAGATATTCTCCAATGACAATGTATAACAACCTGGGCTGGGCTGGGACGAGGTAGAACCTTTCCTTCGTAACGATCAATCATGTATTTTGTTCAACCAATAAGAGAACGTGATATAGGGAAAAATCAAGCCTACGAGCAAAAGGACAGTTTCCATTAACTAACTATCCCTTCTTGGGGGCAACACACAAGAAAGATGAGATAAACTTACACGCAACACGCGTCCATGTGTAACTGCAGAAGTTGGTCATCTGACTCAGAGGCGAGTCTATATTATAATGGATATGTGAAGCAGTCGGTTGCTTTGATTCTTATCTTCCCTCCCTCGTTCTGATTTCTGAGTTCTGACTTTGGTTGTGGTGGGATTTTGGAGCTCCATGTTTTAGGAGTGGGTGCTTCAACTTTCAAGTTCGGCCTCGGAGGATTCGGTGGATGCTTTTGTTCTCTATTATTATTATTATTAATTAAAATTTAGAAGCAATTTACAGCATGCCAGCCTGGTAATGGTTTATTTCTTCCGAAAAAGTCAAATCCAATGCCTGGTAATGTAATGTGTGCTTCGGACAAGATCGACGAGGGAACATGTTAAGCTGCACGTGGGTTTCAATAAATCACGCTATTTATGGTTTTTTTTTGGTTGAGAAATACAATCAAACCAGAACAGAAACAAAGAGAAGAAAACGCAGAAAAACCACGATCCCACAGATGCTAGTGAGAATCAACATCCTCTCCTGACAAATCAGACACCTGAATTATATATCTTCTGCTCTAAAAAGAGGGGATGCCCCCAGAATTCCTGAGTACCAGCCTGGCCTCTGATTGCCAACCGGTGCTGATGCACAGAACCAATTGAATCTCTCCTAATTAACATCACTTTTAAATCATGTTTAAAATCGGCCAAATGATTAATCACAATCAAAAGATTTTCTGGCAATGACAGATATAATAGTACAAAGGACAGTAACTGCTTTTAGTCAAATCAAAAATAAACAATAACTGCGGCCTCTGCTATTTATGGTTATGAACTAATCTGTTTCTGTGAGCACTATCACTACGATTTTTATTTTAAACAACAAATTAATTTTCTTTTTTAATCTTGAACGAAAAAGCAAGCAATGTAACAGATGCTGGTTGTTGGTGAATATTGTTGGCGAAAAGAAATTCGACCACAGTGGGAGTCGAACCCACGACCTTTTGATCCGAAGTCAAACGCGCTAATCCACTGCGCTATGCGGTCGGTGACATGCAGCAACTGCACTTTATATATTTAACAGGAATGTTTACGGATCGACACTCAACCATTACCAATGCCAAGAAACGAGTCGTGACTCACCTGTCACCTCACATGGAATGAAACACCAAACGATCAATTTGAGTGCAAAATAAATCAGCTTTTATAGGTAAAGATTTATATTAAATTTTGAATAATGATTAATTTTAGTTAAAAAAGCTATAGGGTATAAAACTATGGGATTGAATATGTGGCCAATTCCGTGGGTCCTCTATCTGGTGGATGGCCTGAAATGGAAGAAATGTTGAAAGCTTTACAATTGACCTGACTGATTAACGCTCTGGTTCAATTCCATAAATCTATATGTCAGCCGTACTCCTGATATGTTTGATTGTTAGAATTTTTAGGCTTAAAGTATAGTTAGAGTAGGTATTAGTTCAGAATTGATATCAATTTATGGACGAGCATTAATGCATAGAGTGGGGGTATTTGACATATTGGATGTTTATAAATTTGTAAATGAGTCAGAAATCTGCAATGGGCCTGTCCGTAATTCATAGAATTTAAACCTTAAAAGCATAAAAACAATAATATAAAGAGAAAGTAAGTGTGCTAACCGACCATCCCACATGGCAAAATTCTTTTGAGTTTTGACATCCTTCCAGAAAATAATTATACTTGTAAATTACCATTATAATAATATATCATCTGGTCATGAATTCTTTATCAACAGAATATCAGAGAGGATGGAAAGTCATCCTTTCTTTACTCTCTCTCTCTCTTGTATTCTGTTATCTTTGTTCATGGATGAGCAGGCCTTTGTTTATTTGGATGGTAGCTAGCTAGATAACTGCATCAATAGTCAATGTAATGCACTTGATGCTTATGTTTGAAAGACGACCGAATTAGGAAGAATTAAAAAAAAAAAAGTAGTTGAATGAAGTGAAGTAAGCCTTAGAATTATGTTACCCAATCAACTGTTTTCTAAAAAGAAGACTACTTCAGCCTTTATAATAAGTTTTTAGATGAATGTGATTCTAATCTAGAAGTTTCTGTCATCCTCCGTTTCATGTGACCAGGCAGGATCTAAGGCTGTCAATGGGTTGATTCTACCTGATTGATCGAAACGAATCAAATTGACCATTATTAGCTCTGGACCTCTGCAGGTTTTATCATTTTTGTCCTGATTAACAATTGTGTTTGTTTTGATTCCTACTTGTTTTGAATTGATTCAACTCTGATTATTTTGTTAATAATATATAAAGGTTTTTTAGTTTTATTGTATAATTTTTATTATATTTTATATTTAAAAGAGTAAAATTGATATATAATATATAAGATAATTTTGGTTAAAAATATATGACTTATTAATATATAAATAATTTATTATTTTACTGTTATTTTTATTAAGGTTGTATTATCAAAAATAAAGTTTTAAATTATTATTTACATAAAAAAATATATGTCAGTATTATTGGGTCTATTAATCGGGACGGTTTTGGGTCTATATTTTGTCCCCATTAAATAATCAGTTTGGGACTAAGCTGATTGGAACCAGACCCGATTAATCGACAGCCCTAGCAGGATCTGCTGCCCTTTTTCCACTGCACTAACTAAGCTGTGTGTGAGTTGGGACTGATATAGCAATAAATTCAGTAACCTTCTTTCTAATGTGAATCTCAGTGCATTTTATTCTTGCAATGAGAAACCAAATAATTAAAAGTCACACAAATTGAAAGATTGTAGAGGATAAGTCATACATATATTGTCATTCTTAGGCTGAGAGTATACTGATATTTTTCAATTTAAATCATTTTGCACAAAACAAAAAAAAAGGGAAATTTAGAGTTCAGTCCACCTCATCGACTTTATTAGTTTTTTTAAGTTTTCTTTACCAATACCTCCACCTACGATTCACTACTCCCCTTAAATCTTGATTCATTCCCCCTCTTATCACTGTTTATGCCCCCCCCTGCAAAAGAAAAAAGAAAAAAGAAAAACAGAAATTAGATTAATTGAATATACGGAAAAGTATGAATTTGTTCAATGCAGATTTCTGATTTACATTATAGGGCTATAAACATTTAAATGGACCGATATCCACATTCTATACACCCATATTCTTCCGTGAATTAGCAACAAT